ATTTCAGAGACCCATTTTAATGTCATTCATAAAAAAGGGATCCTTACTGGTTTGATTCCTGTGAGCATGCCAACGTATCCAGCAAAATTGGTTGATTTGAAAATGGTTTTCTTGTTCCTCTGGAAGTCCAGATTCACCACGAGTGGCCTTAGTCTTTCAGTTACTGCCCAGGACTTATTCTTCATGTCCCATCTGCAGTCAGAAAGAACATACTTTTGCCTTACAGACAACATCCAGCAGATGGTTGCTGGGATATTTGCAAGTTCACTCTGAAATCAGTTTGCTAGACTGTACATACACTGATGAAATTGTATATTGTAAATATTAATTCCTCTTAAACTATACTTCTGAAACGATAAACCAACTGATAAGAGATTCTTGGATATCTAACTTTATAAAAAATGCAAACTATGATACTGGATCTATACATAGTCACAGGTCAGGCCTCCCCGTTGGAGAATTCATCCTCCTACAGTACTCTCGCCCTGCCAAAAGAGAGGTTAATACTCCTTCTACTCAAAACCCTAACAGTTCAGGTCTGGGTACGGAGTTCAACTAAAACCTACGCTGTAATGCTAGCAAAACTGACGTTAAATTTACAATGACAGCAGCTGTATCACTGATATGAAACGACTTTAATCTCATTGTCCCCATCATAACCTGAAGCTTTGCTAATATACGATGGGACCGAGTTGTGCGACAAATGCTGATTGCACTTACCCAAGAAATAATCCAAAATCTAAATTCCTTCCATGATACAAATTGCCTAAAGAGAAAACCACAATCAGGACAATGATTGCATTATCGGTGCTTCATGGAGAGAACAGAGATGTTATTAGTGACCAAAAGGAGTGAGCTGTTCTTAATACCCTTCTGTCTGAGATCACATTAATATACTGGGTCTGCAGTGCTGCCTCTGGAAGTGGCTCACCCATCTTAATGTAACTAATGATGGCTGCAACAGAATGAGTTCTGAAGTTAACAGGAACATTGTGTTTGCTTATGGGTGAATAGGTTGCAAACTTCATGCAATTATTGCCTCAAAGAGATGTGCAGCCACATACTGACGTGGTGAAATATACTCTGAAATTTACTTCGAGGGAATGTGTCATAATACTTATGGTCACTTGAAATAACAGGGTTGGACAGAATTATTCTGTACTAATACGATCGATTTATGCATTGAATTAACCTAAAATAAAACACTCATCATTCATATTAATCTCATTATCAAAAATAAAAATTGCTTGACAATTAATTAATAATTTTTGACTTTGCTGTCCCAATACTTCTGGAAGGTATATAGCCTTAGCCAAAAAAGGGAACCGACAATCAGCTGTGTTTCCACCGCAAATGCAAAAAAAAAAAAGATACTTTAAGTATGCAGGGCTGACAAATTGTGTACGTACAGCCAAGCGTTCCAAAGGATTTATGCAACCTGTTCAATGTGAAGACAAACCTGAATCCCGGCATGTTAACGTTACCTGCCTGACCGCTTCGGCAGGTTTCTGCTTCTGTCCGAGCCGAGCTCAGCGCTCTCCCTTTAACTCTGAACACTGCTCATGGGCTTTCCCAGCCCTGACGCCAGCTTCATCAAACCCAGCGGCCGACACCGAGGCTTACCGCTAAGCACTCAAACCCGTGTTCAAACCCCAGTTCAACCCGACTTCCGGAATTCCTCATCTCATCTGTTCATAGACGTAAAGCAGCAGGAGGGGGGAAGGCCTTTTTAAACCCTGTGGGATGCCTCCATCACATTAAAACATTTTAAGTGCGCAAGTCTGCAAAAGACTAGTAGATCGAATTTGTGTGGTACTTTACCAATGAAACTGGCACAAGACAAGCTACACTTGCACAAAATGTGCCATCATGTCTTGTCATTTTAAACTATGCAGACGTTCAGCTAACTGCCTCCATGGGAAAGGAGTTAATGTGTCTGTTAGTGAGGACAGGCTTCTCTCACACCAGCACAAGCTGAAATAAGTCAGGAGAACAGCTGCAAACGAGAGGAGGCCATTGAGGCCTCTAGCCCACTGAGTAGCCTGACTGCTGTGCTGTAACCTGCTGCTTTTCTGTTAACTGTGATGATGAGGCAACATGTGCTCCTGCACAGTCTGGAGTCTCTTACCTGAGGTGTCTTCTGCTATTAGTGATGTACACGCGGTAAACACCTCATAGAAAACATTGAAAAGTATGACCTCTCCTGGGAAAAAAAAAAACAAAAAAAACAATTGAAAACAGAATAGATTTAGAATAGGCTGACATTCTGCTGGATTCATTCAAATAGATGCAAAATTCAGCTCTACCTAAGGGAAGACCTGAGGCATCTGCGATCCCCTTCATCTCCTCATTGAAAGGGGAGGGGAGTGTATCCAGTATAAGAGGCTGCAAAAGAGAAGTCTTCTCAGAAGTGTGCGGAACAAACCACTTCACCCAAACTCAGCCGGCAGGATGAAGCAAAGTTAGTTCAGCTTTATTTCAACGAGTCGACCAGAGGTTTCACATTTGTACATGATATTGCAGATGAGTCATTCAGCCCAGAAGTGTGACTAGTGTTACCAACAACAGCCAGATAATCCTCCAACTAGACACTTCTGCCTTCCACCTCCAGGCACACCGAGCTGACCTGACTTGATGTCCAACTTTCTATCCTCAAGCGCATCAAACAACACAGAAGACTGTAATGTTGTATTGTATCTGTACATGCTTACCAAATCCTTATCCACGAGTTCAATGAGTTTTCCACTCGGAACAAAGGCATTAGCGAAGTCCTTAATCACCTGGATCATCGCACCCAGCTGGAGCAACAAAACAAGTTAGAATTGAGAAAACGCAGTGCTTTAGCCCTAATTAACATTTCAAGTTTATTCGTTGGTTAGGCCACTTCGAGCACAATCTGATTAAGGAGAATGAACTCAAAGCAAAGCAACGTTTGTTTAGAAAAGATTTCATTAAAAGGAAATGAACTGTTGTTTTCTACAGAAAAAAAAAACAATACAGATAACACGGGGTAAAATGTTTTCTAACCTCCATCATGACTTTGCTTTCAATGTAATTAAAGAAAAAAAAACGAATTCACAGAAGAGTTCAAATACATGGATGAAAGGGTGAAAAGGGGTTCGTCTAGTGAAATGTAACTAAAACAGATTAACTGCAGACTTTACCTCAGTTTTTTTGTCGCTGATCACCTGGGTCCATCTTTGCCGCGGTGGTAAATCCAGATTTACAGTGTACCAAGTGACGTTACCTCTAAACCTGAAACAATCATCGCAGACAGCACGGTTATTCTATCGCTGAAGTAACGACGTGCCTTACTGCAAAACAGCCCGATGATGGCATAACCTCTCTCAGGGAAGATTTTGGAGTCTCGATGAGACAGACGATGCTGTTCACAAAGAAACGAATTTTATGACGCTTTTACGATAACCAAGGAGTCCGCCTGTTCTATGCAGCATGCTATTTGACGATAACTACACTGTAGCATGGATCACCGTGTAATAAAAACGAAGCACTAGGACTTACGTCGGGCCGTTTGGAGGATACATGCCGTTCCTGCAATCTTCGGTGTACTGCAGAAAAGAAAAGGGAGATGGAACACGGATACATCATTGACGTCTTTACTGGTCTTTGGACATCTTTTAACTGTAAATGCTGTGAAAACTGACCGTCGCAGGCTTCTGTAATCTCGTGAGTGGAATTTCGTAACGCGAATCACAAGACACCGGTAAACGACAGCGAGTAACTAGCTCACAATTAAAAAGGCCAGGTGTGCGTGTGGTCACCGTGAAGCCGATGAGCTTTATTCGTCTTTTTATATCAATATTAAGATGTACACAGGAACGAAACGGCATTCTATCATCGGTGAAGCTCGGGGACTTTCACATCCTGCCCGGATCGGATCGGATCGGATCAGATCAGATGAGACGGGAGGCGAGATCGGAAAGGTACCTTTAAAGGGCCACTAGATCTCCCCTAAATCTCAGTCCTCCTGTCCACTTACCGGGGGCACAAATTGCGTCGATACAAAAGCGCCCAGGAGGGCCAGGAAGAGCCCACAGAGAAGCCCCAGAGACCCCATGTCCGATACAGCCTCTGCCCAGCTCAGCTGCTGCTGCTGCTGTTGCCCAGGGCGCTGAGACCAGGAAGTGCCCTGCCTCCTCGTGACAGGCGTCGCAGGCTGTACCAAGTCGGCGGAGGGGGGGTACCAGAATCTCACCCGCTGGGGATTCGCCTAGATCCGCACCCTGGTGCACAGTTTTAAGTATCTGAAGTCTTGTGATGTTATGCACAGAGGCCACGCACCAGTTAACCCACGACGTTTCGTGGGTTAAAAAAAAAACACTTTTCCCCATTCCACGTATCCCCCCGCCCGCAGACGGATACACAGGTGCACGTGTGCTGTGTTTTCCTGATGAGGAAGTGAAGAGCTGTTGTCTGCAAGCTGGGTGCTGATCTGATAGTTATGAAATCAAGGGCGTGAGAACGGGCGAATCTGATTTAAAAAAAAAAAACAACTGTTTTTTTTTCTCGATTGTCCGATATATTGATTCGATTTGAGTTCCCCGAGTTTCATGATCGCTGATCTACAACACAAAACATAGCTGAGATGTTGCCTACTGCAGCTAGTAACTCCAGTTAGCTCAGGTGCCCTCTTCTGGGAAGAGGGAATATCTGCCGCTACAAGTGCCCGATTGAGAGATGCTCGGGCCGCTTCGTTTGAATTGAACGTTTTAACGATCAGTCCACTGAAGCTCAGCAGGGGTGAGCCTGGCCAGTACCTGGATGGGAAACCTCCTGGGAAAGCTGAGGCAGCTGCTGGAAGAGGTGTTAGTGGGGCCAGCAAGGGGCGCTCACCCTGTGGTCTGTGTGGGTCCTAAAGCCCCAGTATAGTGACGGGGACACTCTACTGTAAAAAAAGGCGACGTCCTTCGGATGAGACGTAAAACCGAGGTCCTGATTCTCAGTGGTCATTAAAAATCACAGGGCGTTTCTCGAAAAGAGTAGGGGTGTAACCCCGGTGTCCTGGCCAAATTTCCCCCTGGCCTTAACAGTGGTCTCCTAATAAACCCCACCGCTGAACTGGCTTCATCACTCAGTTCTCCTCCCCACTGAGAGCTGGTGTTTGGGCAGCGGACTGGCGCAGGTGGAGGCTTTCGGGTTGATCTGCGTCCCCATCCTCAGCTGTGGTCACGCAGGGTCCGGGCAGTGACTGACAGGATGAGATCGCAGGTACGAGCGGCGGCCTGCGGACTCTCGGCGGCCTGGACTGAGTCAAGTCACTGCTAGGTCGGATCGAGCAGACGTTCAGTGAAAACGATTTCACTTTTGGGTTCTGATTTGTATAACGGCAAAACATATACTGAATAAAAATAAAGAGCACCACACAATCCTGAGGCAAACGTTCACCGTGAACCCGTGAACGGGGGAAACAGAGGCTGGCACTTATGTTTTATAAATGCCTCATCAATTCTTACTGCACAGTGTTGATCATTAAGTGATATCATTAAGGTGGTCAAGTTAACTCAAGACACAATATGCCAAATATTGTGGCATATTGTGTATTGTGTAGGCATATTTGGCATAATATGCCAAATATGCCTACAATCCTGCAGTTATTTACACCCCTAAATCAATGCAATTTGAGCCTGAGCCGGCGGACAGGGCAGCCTGGGGAGAACCTGGACTGGACGAGTCTACCGCAGGACAAACAGAGCAAGTCTCTGGACTGTGGAGCACCGGCAGGAAACCCGGGAAGACTGGGGGAGAGCATGCACAGTCCAGACGAAACGTGCCCCAGGGCAGAACGGAAGCGGAGATCCAAGACCCGCGAGAGAGCAGTGCTGACCTCCACACTACTTGTCTGCAACACAAACGGAGTGATTTCTAGTTTGAAACTCGATTGTGGCATACAGAAGCTGCCTTCCACCAGGCACACATATAAATATAAAGCTGAATAGACAAGGTAGGAAAAGAATGAAAAGCCGGACAGACTTTACCTTCCAGAAAAAATAGTGGCTGCCATGCAATGCATAAAAAGCAAATGCAAAGCTACTGAAAGCAAATGCTTATCTCCTGTCAGACACCTGTGAGGCTTAAAATGCACTTCTTCACGGTTAATTTATTTTTTTTTAAATCCTTACCATGACAAAAGTTTGAATTCGTTACAGCACTTATTAAATTGCTGTAACAGTAAAGCAATTTGCTGCTCTACGCTTGAAAAGGGGGTAACAGTGCGGTTAAATGGGACGCGAGGGCGGAGGAGCGAAAGTTCAAACAAATGTCAGCGAGAGACGCGTTGATGTGCTGTGGATCTAGCGACCTGCAGCAGAGACGGTCTTACTGTAAGCTGCAGGAGGCAGAGATAGATGGTTTTACTTCCAGAATAGACACTGGCTCATTAAACTCAAGCTAATCATCACTTCCAGACATTTAAAACCATGCCATTAAATTAGTTTTAGACTGCAGGTTACTTATAGAGCAAAGAGAAAGAGAAATCGACGTGTGATGGTGCGCTCCTGTTTCTCCTGAGCACTGCATTAATAAGGTATATTATTACCTTTTGTGGTCGAGACCCTGATTTAGAATAAGTGCTTAGAAAATGCATGAATTACCATTTGTAAAATAAAAAGCTGGGTTCTAGAAGCCGACCTGTAAGACATATAGTGATCGCTTTTTATTTCCACTAGTTAAAATTTTCACCACGCACAGAAAACAGAAAATCATTTCTGACACTACATTTTGTACTGGCTGTTTTAAGCTTGTTAATTATTTCTACAAATACCTTCAACAGTTAAAAATGCTTTTAATACATTTCTTTAAAACAAGTAATTATTAAATATGTAATATGTGCTAGATTTTGAATTTAATAAGATTAGTTTAAATTATTATACTTAACATATCCATGACACGCAAGGTGACAAATATGATGCTTTTTTTCTTTAACATTACATAAAAATATAATTGAAAATACTTGAACATATCCAGCCAATATAATACTAAATAAATATTTAAATAATACACATCTCTCAGATATCTGAACATTTTCTTTTAATAACTTAAAAACTAAAAACAAAACACAGAAAATAACCCTTTTCTTATAAAACATTAAATTTAATTTTAAATTTTCATCAGAGTGAACTTCAAATTGTTAACAAAATTACAACACTCAATGTAAAAAAGAAAAAAAGATCTGTTTCTTCTATCTTCATTTGCAGTATCTGTCTGCCTTCATCTTGGCTCTCCTGTAACAGACAGAAGGATGTTTGGTTATTACACGGGCATCAAGATTTTAACAATTAGAAACAAAGTTTGTGTTAAGAGCCAAAAGACAGTTTTGTTTTCTGGATAATTTCCTTCAGTTTAAGACCTGTTTTGATATAAACTGAACAAAATTGTACTGAAAATTAGGAGAGTTTAATATTAAGATTGCACAGTTCTATAGCTGCTGGACTGACTGTTGCATTCAGAGGAAAAAAGATGTTTTAATCTTCATACCGATCTAATAAAGTTTCATGAAAATTTCCTTCCTCTCTGGCTTTCTTCAGCGAACTGCTGTCATCACTGTTGACCCTCAGCTTGCGATCTTGGAAGCTCTGGAACTTCTTTCTGAAAACAAGTTTGATGCATGTATTTTTAAAACAAACCATTTAGAAAGATTAAATAATGCAAATTCATCAACGAAGGGTCCAACATTAAATACACCTGACCACACAGACTTCGAAGGTAGCCAAAGCAATCCTTTAGAAGTCAAAAGCAAAAAAAAAAAACATATTCAATAAGTATTTCCCTTCAATGCAAACAAGATGAATGAAACGTGGGGAAAAACTGAATTTGTTGTTCTACTCTTTGTTGGGACTCTTTTAGCAGGAAGGCAAGAAAAAAACAGTTTCCATACTTATTTCTGCTTCTGCCCGACACCTTGAAAAGTGAGGGAAGCGTTACAGGTTTTCTTAGAAGAAAACAATGGCACGCAGAAAGCTTCATCTTTACTGTCTGGCAATTAATGATCCATAAACAGTGGACTGCAGTGGCATTTCATCTTGCGCCTTGCAGTTAAGCTTCAATGGCCCATCAATCCACCGTTACGATATAGATTTATGTGCTCCTCAGTCCATCATCTACATATACAAGCCATGATTTAGGATGTCAGATCCTTGCAGGTGTGAAATGGCTGCAGTTTAGAAAATTGAGAAAATCAATGACCTCTCAGCTCCCTAATGGCATGTCGTTCTTCACTGGTGACAGATGCACTTGATATTAAAATTAAGCCTGATCCTGATTTTGCTATCAGGCTTCTGGGCTCCTGCTCTCATCGCACTCTGGTTTCTGGTAAGCATGACGTATTCAGGCAGAGGAAGCTTTCTTATTATATTCACTGTAGATTCTCATCATTTCTCAGGGACTTGACTGACACTTATTGATATAGAATCTATCACATATATAAGACAACTCAATACCCAGTTTAAGAAAATAGAGAGCAGTTCAGATCTGAATTTAACGGGAATGCATTTGCATGGAACCTACAAACATTGACCTTGTCTGCCAACAGCTTCACTGGAATACAATTCATTAAAAACTAATTTAATGAGATATAATCCATATAACCGTGACCCTCACCAGGAAAAGAGGAGTGAAAATGGATGGACGGACATTCCATATAAGATTGATGTAGAGATTTTCCATTGGCTATACTAACTTGAAGCTGGGTCTTAATATATTGTGGAAGCTAAGTACCTGGTCAGTACTTGACTGGGAGATACCTTAAAAAAAATCAGCTCCGTTTTAGAAGACGGACCCTTAAAAATACTGCCCTTGTAGGTCCTGCCTTGGAGCGCTGGACATTATAAGTACTGTCGCGGATGGAGCAGTAGGCTGCACTTTTCCGTTTTGGAAATCCAAAGCCAATGTCCCAACATGGGCAACAGGAGGACACTTTGACAAAGTCTGAATAGGAAATTTAGCAAGGGACCCAGATTTAATCACTCCTGCTCTAGGAGGTTAATTAAGCTTAGTAATCTGAACTTCTCTACAGTATCTGCAGTGCAGCAGCCTCCTGCACCTAAAGCACACTGTGATTCTGAGGAAGTGAATCCATACATCAATGAAAGGCACATTTTATGTCCTTAAATGCTGATTAAAATGAAATACATACACGTAATTGATCTCACAGTGCTTGACATTTCCTCTGTCTTCATCTGCAATGTCTTCTTTCTTTGTGGTTTCCCGTTCTGCACACGATCGGAACTTAAAGAAAGAAATGAGTTTTTAGAGCAATTTGCAAACTTCAAAGTTCAAGGCTAGCAAGGGAAAAAAGTATCGTAAGAATGCTGCAGACCTTAAATCTTGAGTTGACCTTTAAAGCCTTTTTAAGTCCCACTTTACAACACAAGTGGCCAGGGATACTAGCGGAAGTCAAGAGGCAGAGCATTTAGTATAGGGAAGAGTAAGCCCTGCTTCCCACGAAGAGTGGAACAAAGCTCCCGGCCAAGCAGACAATTATCGGCTCTTCCCCAAAAAAGCTGAATAAGATCCTGTGTTTAAACTTTAATTATCAAACAGCTACTGGAGTAAATGGGCTGAACCGACCCCCTCATATTTGCAACCTCTCTCTTATTCTTATGTTCTTACCTTGATCATCTCACCTTCTCCTGCAGCCTTGTTCTTCGCTACTATATCGCCTTCGTCATTATAAGAAACAAAACAGCTATTCGCAGCCATCAGTGCCATTTTACCCTGTAATAAAACACGGAAGCACAAGAAAAGCATCTACTACCGCTCACTGAGCAAACAAGCACAGACACTCATTAAGGACAACATCACCGTCACGTCAAAACACATTTCCGAGGCTCGATCAGTGGAGAGACGTATAAGCAAAGCGGCAGAAAACATCAATAAACACCGGAGCAGTGGCATTTCGTGCTTAGTGACTGATGACAGTGTGGATGGAAATGACACACTGAGGTTTGTCAACAACTAAAGGTGCCTCTCCTGTAGTTTGAAAACGGAAGGGATTTGTAAAGATCGTCGAGGACTTTGGGATCAAAATGCCCCCCCCCCAATGGTCAATCTTCATTATATTAATCATGATGAAAGTCTTTGTTCCAAGATTTCAAAGTCAGAGCTTAATAATAGGATGACAACAGTGGTGAAGACAGTGAACTGATCTGCCTTGACGCACAGGCAGTTTCAAGCACTGCTTCAAGTGCTAATAGTCAGATTCTGTGCGCGCTTGACTCCAGTGGCTGCCTGGCAAAGATGAATACTTATACCGTGGGTCTTCACATCCTGCGGCCAGCATCCTGCAGGTGCGTCACACCTGGAACCACTGGGCTTTTCTGCTTGAATCTCACACCCTTTGGACTGCAATTTGGGTTGAGGAGTTGTTCTCAACTGCACCACTGCAACCTTATAGCGCCGTTGGACGCGGCTGCTGAGAATCAGTCGAAAATACTGCTACCGTTGAATTGCTACTGCTACTGCTTTCTAAATGCGGGTCAATTTCATAGTTGCAACCCTGTTCCTGTATTTAAGAATTGCGAAGCAATGTGTTGTGTCATTTTCGACGTTATGTCATCTGTCACGTGAGGAAAACCCGCAAGTAAGCATTTCATTGTACTCAGGTAAGTCTGACAACAAACCTGAACTTGAGTTGGATGCAACAGCACCCAGGGAGGCATACTGCCAGTTTATGACACCCTGAAAGTATTCAGAGGGCACTGCAGTTACGTCTACGACAATCAATGTCTTTTTGAACACCGCTGTCGCAGCCCTGTGAAAATGCACAGCACGCAAGAAAGTGCTGGGTAACATTCAGACAGAGGAAGCTTTCTTATACTCGGTTTGGATCCTCTTCATCACCTGGGGACTTGACTAGCACTTACTGATATAGAATCTGAATCTAACAGGCATGCATTTGCATGGGACCTACAAACATTTGCCTCGTCTGCCAACAGCTTCATTGGGATACGTTTCATTCAGAAAAAGTGGGATAACATGTGGGAGAACGAAAAGAAAGGAAGCTGTGGGGAACGACTCACATCCTGAAAGACGGGTTCCCACTGTTCCCGAGATCCGATGGCATCGGAGCGGCCCACGACAAGCCCCTCCGAGTTGATCCCCAGGTACTTGCCGTAACCCGATTTTAGGGCGATCCTCACGGAGAACAAAGACACAAAGAATAAAAACTCGGGCAACGACGGGCAAACCAGTGATTCCGGCACGTGACATTCTTCCGAGGAAACAGTCATGGAAAAAAAAAAACGGAACCCTTATCATCACCTTAACAGACGGCAATGGCAGAGCTAGAGGAAGTGAAAACAATCTGTAGGAAAACATAAATAAAACGTTCTCCTCATGTTTAAACTCACCTGGAATCCGACAGCTTGATGGCTGTGAACTGCTCAGGCGGGTGAGGACCCTCATCCTCTGCAAAAGAAAACGGACGCCTTAGAAATCTGGGCTAAAGATGCTGAGAAGGTCCTGACTCCGTCCACTGCCAGTACATCCCTGCGTGGGAAGGCCGAAACCTTAAACCGTACTTACCTGAGAGTGTGATGATGAATGATGCAATGTCCATGCAAGAAGTCGGGTCCGGTTTCCAAGTAAAACAGAAAATAGAGTTTTCAGTGTATCTGCATAAATACACGCACATTCGGTGAATCGTGGTAATACTTCAGATTTTAAAAGTGATATCATCACCACAGCAACAAAATTCCCCGCTGGTTGGCTGTCACTGAAAAGTGCTGATCGCAACTTGTCATCCTCTCTAACCACCCTGGAGAACTAATGAGCAGTGAGCATTTTAAAATGCATAAGCAGCGATTATTTCTCTAATTACATGCCTGTGTGACATTATGTGTTTATGATTAGTTAATTGATAAGCACCTAACAAGGTACTGGAAAACATCTCTGCGAATGCAGGGAGGCAGTGAAAGGACACGTTTACGAGCCAGCTTGTCTTGTAAATGCCCATGGCCTGTCTTAGCGCTGCTATATTTCTGTAGCTTGGACTTTCATTGGTCTTTGTGTCTTCATCAATCACCTACTGTGTCAGTGCAGGAGGCAAGGGGTTAAAAGCAGAACCGTCAGCCATGTGAACTATGACTGGCCGGGGAAGGAGAGAACAAAGCAGCACTGCAGGTGGACACCAGAAGCAAGCAGTCCCAGGTGTCGACACATTAGTCAGAGAAAGGCAGTTATGTGGCCTCTACAACAGCTGCAGTAATTAAAGTTGACTTTTTCTCTATCCCTGTGTTTTGGGAGTTGTCTTCCTCTCTATTCCTTCCTACTTATTTTAATAAACTATTTATTTGTTATTTGTTACACCATTACTATTTTGGAAATAAAGGCTGGTCCAACTTTACTGCAAAATTTTAAACCTGACAGGCAGGTACACAGGGTTGAATAATGCAGAAATGTATCTTTCCATCCACGTCAAAGTACTGCTGACCTACAGTGCTTATTTTATTCCTCAAATGACCATATCAAAATCAGAATTTGCACATGTGCCACTTTTAACAGTGACAGATACATTTAAGACTTCAAGCCATTGTGCATTTCAGACGGTAACAGGCCTGCATTTGTTTTATGCCTCTGTAAGATTATGTGATGCATTGAAATTCTGAAATAATAGAGAAAGAGATTAAGTATATTTGCATAAATACTATTATGATGCTGTAATATAAAATATTCTAGAAATAAGCTGTTAATAGCTCATGTTGAAACTAGGCATATTCTATGTGAATTCACACTGGCTGCAAAACAGTTTATTTTTCCTATTACTATTGCATGAATTCTGATTGCAAATTGATTATATACAAAACTTAATGCATTCTATGTTTAAGTTAACCTTTTTTGTAATGGTGTTCTTCCCAATACACAAACCAATTATACTGCCTGCTTAGAGAATACAGCAAACTGCTTAACTCAGCAAACTCATCATGGGGAACAGTAAGGAATCATGTATGAGCCCAGGTTTCTCAGAGTCAATAGAGCTGAAAATTGTGTGGCATTCTGCAATACCTTCTATAACTTTACAGTTCATAACATTCTGCAAATTAGTGAATGTAAACCACAGGCCAGGATATGACAGAAATACCATTTCAAAGAGACCTCCTATTTATTCAAAAGAAACAATTACTGCCATCCCATTTTCTTGCTCAATCTGAGAAAGAGAACCTGTCAACAAGGTGTCTTATTTGAGAAATTGCAGAATTAATATTCTTTGACAGACGAACAGGAGCAGTGTACATTTTATTGAGTTCCAAAGAATGGAAAAAAAAGAGGTAATATTAAAAAACGATCCTGGGTTAGATTAATTCAGCAGCTTCTACACACACAAACGTGCTCTAAGAGAAAAGCTCATATCTCTTGTACTGACTTATGGGATGCAACGAGCACATTGGTGTTGTTTCTGCAGCTTAATGAGGGTAGGAAAGAAAATGGCAAGACAGGTACAGAAGACACTTATACACCGTCTTACATTCTATAGACATCATTAAAAAAAACACAGCTCAGTCTTCAAAGGGATACACAGGCAAAACACTAAATTTCACACGGATACAAACATTCAAATCTGTAACTAACACTTGGGAGTTGAATAAACACACTGTAGGGTCCCAAGTTAAGTATGATTGTTTCATATTCATGTTTCAGATTGTTGTGGACCTTAAAGTTAAACGTTAGAAAAAAGAATAATAAATATGTCTAAAAAGCCCTTATATTCTTTGACAGCTGCAAAGAAATATTTGTTTATCAGGTTTTAGCCTGAAAGTGTTAAAAGGGAAAGAAGGCACAGCACTTCATCTGTTTTTGTACTGAATTTGTTCCCCGTCATATAATTATATAGTAGCTGTATCTAAAACAGTGCTGACCAATGAAGTCATTCAGGCTCCACTTCTATCATACGCTTAAATTGATGTTAATTTATAAAGACATAAAAACTTTCTGAACTAAGAAGGTTTTTCTGTACCTTTATGTGGTGCGCCGAGAGTAAACAGCCCGGTATCTAAGGCATGGATGTAGGCGTTCTTGTCCATCTCAATGGCCACTGATCCTGTGATCTCTCCGAAGTTACTGATGGCCCACCAGCCTCCTGCAAACAAAGAGTTTGAAATACATCAGAGGTTAGAGTAATGGCTTTTGAAGATGCTGAATAGGGAAGTCTTAAAATAATTAATTTCTTATGTGATATATTTACGAGATCTAACTACCACCCTGAAAGATACAGAAATAGTTATTATACTGTTTATCTACAAACATGCTGTCATTACAACCAGTCTTACCAACAATGTCATCTTTTTCCTTCTCATCCTCTCGCTTTCTCTTCTTGTCTTTGTGTTTCTTCTTGCTGCAGTTGAAACAAACGCACAATTACTGTACAAATGTCATAAACAGAAAAACTACACGCCCACGGCAGGCTGCCCAATGCCTTCCCTCAGTATCGTTCACAGCAAACGAATATTTCATTTAGTTTACGAAAACCTTACACTTTGATTACTGAAACAACTATTTCAACTTTTAGTACATTAAAAAAAAACATAAGCATAAAATTAAACTATTGAGATGTGCAGTCTGCATCTAGCAAATAATTCACCTCAAGTGAGAATGCATGCACACGATTTGTACTCCTGTATTTGGGAGTGAGGAGACTCTTTTTATTTTTTTATTTACCATTCCACAATTCACTTTAATAACAACCCAATATGGACCAAAAAAAAACCCCACACCCCCCAAAAATGTTGCTAATGTACTACATTTATAGAAAGACGCCATTTAGTTTCCAAAAACAGTTCTTATTTCCACCGTGGGGATGATTCAACATCATGTCAGTGAGGGATTACGATGCCTACGAGAGCATTTTCTCAAAACTTTGTTCTCACACCGAGAGTAACAAAAAGGGATGTACTGAATAATGAACGATTTAAAAATAATAATGAAAAGCCCTTAACAGTGGCACAGTACCACGAATCTGCTTCTACCGTGTCTGCCGTTTTGTGTGCCATACTCTCATCGCCCGAATAAGATGAACTAAAGGTACACGAGGCGCAAAGACCGAAATGCATTTTAATACCATTCAAACATCTTACATAAGGCGCAAAAAATATTAATTTAGGAAGTTTAGACAAAGCATGAAGTTCGTTTACAGCACATTGGTGCCACTGACAATCGTGCACCGAAGGTTCAATTTGCAGACAGAGCTGTTCGAATGAAGGGAAGCCAATTGGAAAGTCCGGGGTTTGAGCTGGCTTGTTGACATACAAAATCAAGAAGTCGTGGCATAAAATAAAGTGTATTATTATTATTATTATTAACTGAAGAGCTACGATCCCACACCGGGAATAGTTCGTTACAGCGAACAGCCGGAGCGGGTCAGCAAAAACAAGGGTTTGTCCACATTTCATAACGCTGGATTCACTGCCGCACGCCTACAGACTGCAGACGAGGAGCAGTCCTTGGACTGAAAATACGAGGGATCATCTCATCAATGTAAGAAGCAAGAGGCCTACGTAGCAAAACATCAACCAAATAATTTAGAAGCACGCTTTCCAGGTAAGACTCCAGTCTCCCCTGCAAATAGTGTGACTTCACCGTATGGCTCTCCAGCTCACCTTTTATCCTTAACGCCTTTCAGGACCAATTTGGTAGATTTTACACGCGAATACTCTGCCATGTTTGCAAACACATTAAAAAAAAAAACAAACCAGATGGACGTTACGGGTGCCGAATAGGGACAAACTAGTTTCTGGGCGGCTGAACCCTCTGGTTAGTCAAATGCGCAAGACCGCCCCCAAGTGTTTGGAGGTCGCCATGAGGCAAAGAATTACTCGCCAGGTTTCGCAGTGCACTGAGACTGTGATCGATTTCAAAAGCAAGCATTTGCTTTGCTTTGTGGAGTTTCAAGTGCTTCAAGTGCTCTGTTTGTTTTACGGGACTAACGTCCGTAGAAAACAGCAAAGGTGTGTATTTCAACACACATTTCTGCGGACAAGAAGGGCACTGCAGAGCTATCACAAGGATAACAGCCGTGTTTGTGACGCTCAAGAACACCTGAAAAGCAAATAATTACGTTCTTATTCTGAACAGAGTTCCCCGAGGGCTTCACTAAGCAAACACTCCTGATAGTGAATACATGGTGAGCATGCATGTTTTTAGAAATAAAAAGTCTACGAAGTTTGGATGTTGAGTAAATCTTTTGGTATCTTTTTTCAGGTGCCCTGCTCTAGACCTGAGCTCCACTGACCATGTCAGGGACGAGCTCGGACAACAGGTGGTACATGGGCCTCTGCAAACGTGCGTGTTGTAGGGCTTCCAGCAACAACCACACACACACTGCTAGCTTGTGGCTTTCATTTTTCTTGTGGTAAATGTTATTACTGGTTTACTTTGCAATAAGTTAAAAACAATATTCTCGCTTGGGATTTGATCCCAGAGCCTTGAAGTTACAAGTCTGAAACACCAATGACTGATCCACCTTAAAAAGCCAAATTAATTCCCTTACAGTAGCAAGCAGAAATAGTGCACCTGCTGTAAAAAAAGATGGTCGTTTTCTGGATGCAGACTGGAAAACCACATATCTTTTGTGGTTTAGGGAAGCCAGGAGGTCTCCTGGTAAAGAGACCCCAGAGCTAACAATAGTATTAATAGTTCAGGTGGGTAGCTGCGTCAGCATGCGTAGGCTGCAAAGGAACAAGTAAGAGGTTTATTCCATGCTGAAAAAAAGAGAAGAAAGAGAACACAACGTTTCGGCCGTGGAGCCTTCTTCAGGTGTTAATAGTATTAGTATTAATAGTATTAATATATGACTGTAAGAAAATTAGAAGTTTATGTAGCAAACCAAATATTCCATGAGTGAACGTCCTCCAGGCTCTATATTGTGTTCATTGAGGTGGTTAGTGGTGGATGATCCGGATGGCCAGACAGTAAACTGGTTTTAGGATGTCTTGAAAGACCTGGTAAGTTGTGAATGCACAATGTAGGTCAGGGACGTACCTCATAAACCTGCATCTGGCATTTGCTAACGAGATTGTGGAAACTCCATGTTGGGATTGTAGGTTAGTTAGTCTAATCTGGGTCTTTAAACCCGTAACAATGTGAGTAGGTAGATCATTCCAATCAGCAATGACCTCACTAGTAATATAAGCCTAAGCTGCAGGCTTTTCTTAAGAGCCCTGTATACTGTCTAGGAGTGCACTGAACTGGTTTTAGTGTATTAGCCTTAGTTTCTAGTAAAAGATAACAATAATATGTTTTCAAGGTCTGCAATAGCTATTACTTTTAGTGATAAACAACAAAATACAAAACATTGGATTCTTTGATCCCTGTGCTATGCTGACAAAAGGCATGGGTCCAGATGATTATGCTTCTTAAGAGATG